TGGAGGGAAAGGTGCCCGGATCACACCGGGAGGGAAAGCCTGCTTTTCTACTCTAGGACAAAGTTTGTAATCTGGTGGAACAGAAGCCACAGGCCATTGAAAACCCACAAACACCTATTTTCTTTTTTTCTTTTTTCTTTTACTTTTTTCCCTCCACGTGGTAAATTTTTAAAGTTTGAATTGTTTGAATCATTTAGAAATCAGGGTATTTTGCATAACCCCGGTGCTTGGCATTGCTTTGAGAACCGGAAGGTCTGGGGCACTCATTCTCAAGTGCCAAAAGTCAGCTGGGGCTGAGTGGTTATTGCCCCTCTTCAGGGCAGGTGTTCTCTGGCCGCTATGATCCCCACACTGACAGGGCACTAAGCCCTGGCAAGTTTTGAGAATGTGTCTCTGTTGTAGGGCTGCATGAGAAGGGACAACAGCTTGAGAACGATGAGGGGCCCATATGGTGAGTCCACCTTGAAAAAGGAAGTCCTGAATGGTGACCCTGGTTTGGGGGAGAGGGTAAGTGTACAGCTTTTAAAGGATATGCAAAGTTTAGAACAAAAAATCACGGAGTTCCACAGAACATGATTCGTGAACTGTCTGCATCGGAATTATTTAGGTGCTTGTTTTGTAAAAGATACCTGTACTAAAAAACTTGTAGAAAAAAATGGAAGAATATCTGCATCACTTGGAATAGCCAGTGATTTCTTAAACAAGATGGAAAAAGCACTACCCACAAAAGAAATAATGGATAAATTGGAATACATTAAAATTAGAAACTTCTGTTTATCAAAAGATGTAATTAAGAGAGTGAAAGGTGACAGAGGGGAAGAAAATATTAAAATATATATATTCATCAAAAAGCTACAATTTAGACTATATAAAGAATGCTAAAACTCTTTAAGGAATAGGTAGACAACCTCCTAGAAAAAAAATGGGCAAAAGGTTTGAATAGGCATTTTATCAAAGATAATATCCAAATGGACAATAAATTTATGAAAAATTTCTCAAGCTCATCAGGGAAATGAAAATTAAAATCACAATAGGAAACCATTACGTAGCGTAGACTAGCTAAACTGAAAAAGGTAGATAAAACTAAATGTTTGTAAGCATACATAGCAACTAGAACCCCCAGATATGGCTAGTATGAGAATAAGCTTTAAAAGTTTTCACTTTGTAAAACTGTTTGACAATATCAACTCAAGCTGAACATATGCATACACACATATGCATAAGATTCAGCAGTTCCTCTCCTAGGTATATACCCAAAATAGTACATACATATGTTCACCAAAATACATCCACTAAATATTCAGAGCAGCAGTGTTCATAATAGCCAAAACTCGGCAACAACGCAAATGTCCACCTACACTAGAATGGATAGGTAAATGATAGTATGGACAATTAAATACACTACAGCAAAGAGAACAAATGAATTACTGCCACAGGAAGCAGCATAGGTGGATATATACACCTTGTGAAAATTCACCAAGCTGTACATACATAATTCCATGCATAATTCTGTATGAATGGTAAGTCTTAATAAAAGGATGAATTAAAAAGTATTTCTGGTTCCCTTCTCTATCTACTCTACCTCAGAATAACTAGAGGTAGAGTCCGAAGATGTGTGTTTTTAATTAGGACCTAGGGGATTCCTTATGTCTTCTAGAGTGTGAGAATCTCAGACATAGAACCAGTTTGCCAGTTGCCTTGGGAGAAAGCCTACCTGAGGTTGAGGCCAACCCAGTAGAAAAAGAGCTTAGGAAAAATACTTGGCCAATAACATCATTTGAATATCTTGATCCACCCATACCTGAATCAAATAACCCCTGGGCTTTTCATTTATGAATCAGTAAATTACTTTCTGTAAGCTAGTTTCTTCTTCTTCTTATTATTATTATAATGATGATGATGATGACGATGATTAGTCAGAAAAAGTTACTACCCCTCAATTCAAATAAATACCGATCTTTATTTAAAAGGTGCCAAACTACTTTCCCAAGTGGCTGTACCATTTTGCATTCTCACTAGCAATGTGTGAGAGTTCCAGTCGCTCCACATCCTCGCCAGTACTTAACGGTACCAGCCTTTTTCATTTTAGTCATTCTGTAGATGCTCAGTTTTATCTCATTGCTTTAATTTTCATTTCCCTAATAACTAATGATGCCAAGTATTTTTTCATGTGCTTATTTGCCATCCATATATTTTCCAAATAAAAGTATACAAACATTTTGCCTTATTTTAATTGGGTTGTTTACCTTCTCATTACTGAGTTATAAGTGGAGTTTTTTTTTAATGTTCTGTATACAAACATCAGATATATGGTTTACAAATATTATCCCCTGGTCTGTGGCTCCCTTGTCATTTTCTGGGTAAATTTATATAGGTGGGAAGAAAGCAGGATTACCTGTAAAGAAACCAGCAGTAAAGGGGTGAATGAGTTTTGGATACACATGAGATGGTAGAGGCCAGCCTGTACATACCAGAGAGGTGAGTGATCATGGGGCTAAATTTGATGAATATGATAGACTCAGGATAAGGAGAGCATTGTAAGGAAAGCAGAGAAATTATAATGGATAGCAAGCAATAGTCGAGCCATGAAACATTCTTGAGCATGGGAGTGGTATAATAAAAGTGGAAATTCTACCTGGCATGGCAGAGGAAGAACAGGGAGAGGCAAGAAAGCTTAAAACTGTCACGACCATCCGTGGGTGTGAGCGTGAGAATGTGGACTGCGATCGTGGCCCATGAGAAGTGAGGGAATAGAGTGAAGGGTGTGTTTTAAAGTAAAAAAAGAGAAGGCATTTTGACATATCGAATACAGGAAATAAAAATGAGGAAGAGGCAATAATTACAGAAAATCAATGTTAGAAGGAATTTCAGAGATCATTTAGTTCCACTCCTAATTTTATTGCTGAGAAACTAAGGCCCAGAGAAGAGCCGTGATTTTACCAAGATCACACACAAAGTTAGCAACAGATTATTAGGTGCAGACCTCACTCTTTTCACTACAATAACCTGACCCCAGAAATCTGAGATTTAAAGTCTCTAATCCGGGAAACATCAAATTCATAGAAACTTGGTGGAAACGAGAATTCACTCCTATTTCTCCTCCCTCAGTTTCTCTTTGCTCCTACCCACCCATCACCACCCCTGACTTTAAGAAGAAAACGAAACAGTATGCATTTCCCAACACTCTTTTGTTGTCCATTCACATACTTTTTCCTTCTTTGACCTGACAAGCACACCATCAGCAGTTTTTATGCTGCAAACTCACACAGTCCTTGTTAAATTAAAAGTATAGCTATATCTATCTACAGACATATAGCTTAGATAATAATGTTGGGGGTGGGGGAAGCAAGTTGTATAATGATGTGATTTTATTTAAGTTTAAAAATCTTCAAGATGATTTTTTTTTTTTGCAATGAATAGGTAATAAAGGCACAAAATCACTGAACTCATGAAAGTGATTAACTTGGGGGAGGAAAGAGGAGCATGAGATTGGGAAGAACTACCAGGGGATCCTAACTGTATCTGTAATGTTTTATTTTTTCAAAAAGCAAGAGAAAGACTTTCTGAAGCTAATACGACATAAAGTGGAAATTTGCTAAAGCTAGAGGGTGGGCTTATTGTTCTAATATTCTCTATTATCGATGTGTTCAAAATGTCTCATGAGTTTTCTAAAGTTCAAATGTGAAGCATCATTTATTATTGTCAGCATTCACCTTCAATCTCCTATTATTATACTGATGATTCATATTTACCAAAAATAAATGAAAGGGAAGTTACAAACACTAACAATCAATGTAGGCAAATGTGTGTCTCTGCCGCATCCTCTGTTTAAGCGTGTAAGTCTGCCAAATTTCTTCAAGAACGTGTTGAAGATATGGGGAAAATACTAGAAGCTTTTAGACCAATGGACTGGCATGACTTGCTCTGTAATGCTAAGTACACGACTATAGTTTGTTAAACAATGGCAAGAACGTTGGAGGGTCCAAGAAGTCAAAGATGATGGCAGTTGACCAGAAACCCACCCTCTCACCTCTTGCAATCAGGAGATTTCTGTGAGCAAATGAGAAACATCAAGGGGACAAATGCTGAGGGCAGCGTCCACGTATAAGGATGCAGCATGCCTGTGGTCATCAGAACCAACGTTAGTCTTTGCATCCCCCAGCAGCAAACCAGCTAAGCAGCTGTTAAGGGCTCAGTTCTATCAAGAACCTTCTCCTTTCCTGCCTCCCTTACCCCTGAGGAGTGTTGATGCTCACTGTTTGCTCCTACTTAAATAGACACAATGGCAGAAGCAACCAAAGAACCATGAGCACAGACTCCTACTCAATGGAGTCAAGAATTAAGAAGAAGGAATGTGGAAGTGGTCCCTATTAGCTAACGATAAAACAGCCCACATTTACTGAAGGGTTATCAGAATCCAGACCCTGTGCTAAATCCATGCAATGAATTATCTGATTTAGTCCTCACGAAAGCTCCATATAGTAGATACTACCATTAGACCCAGTTTATAGACAAGAAAACTGAGGTTTGAGGACTAGAGTGAAGAAATAAAATGAAGTGACTAGAGTCAAGCTGCTAAATTACTAAAATCAAGTGGATCGAGGTATGAGGAAATAATTCTGTTCTTGTTTTAACAAGCTTGGGAACTTAAACTCTTGAAATTTCCAGTTTTGTGTCAATACCTGGACATCTATCGAACCTCCAGAGAACCCTCTGATGATCCCCTGAAGGACTAAGGAAAGAATGTTCACATATGCAGACCACCTGGCACCCTTTATCCAGACCACCTGGCATCCTTTATCCAGACCACTAGTCATCTAGAGGATGACCATCTCAGGCCAATCCAGAGGCTAACAATGCAGGCCTGATTCTTCTCAAGACTGTGCTCCTTACCATAAGAACCCTTGGTTTTTCTTTCTTCTTTGGAACACTGGATATTGCCCAGTTGTGATTCCATTTTGCAAACCCTAAGGCCCTTGAATAAATCTTTATCATTTATTTCTAACCAAAGCCTCTTGTTGCATTTAGGCTCAGTCGACAGGTTCAAAGAATATAAGATGCTTGCCCAAAGTCACACAACTATTAAGTCACTCCACGATGTGTCTCATAGTTTGTTCTATTTCTCTAGGATAAATAGGGGCACCTAACAAGGGGATATTTATATCGACTGGCCCCAGATTTACAACACCTACATCAACCGGCCTAGGGAAAGGCCCTGACAAGTATGGAGAACAATATGGAAGGATCTCAAGAAAAGCCTCAAAAGAAATAAATATCAGGCTGACTCTTGGTGAAAAAGTGAATCTAGGATGCCAACCAATTATTAATAGCAAAATCAAGTGAAACAATAAAACAATTGAGTGATAGCGTTGAAGAACTTTGACAATGTTTTCAATATTAGTTTGTTTATTTGTTTTGAGCTGCAGAATTCTTTTACATGAAGTCTTGAGCTGAAAAGCAGGACATCAAACAGAAGCAGAGCTGCTCCATCCGAAGCTGGGGGTCAGAGAACAGAAGCAGAGGTCCCAAGACACCTCCATAGGTTGAGTTTACAAACCCCTCATTTTATAGATAAGTAAGCAGAGACCTAGAGAGAAAATGTGATATGCCAGAGCCATAGAGATGTCATTAATATGGTTAACATTTATTGTGCTTAATTAACTGTGCCAGGTTGTTCTAAGTGTTTCACGTCTAGTCTTAATCCCACCACAACCTTATGAGGAAGGCACAATTATATCATAAAATCTATAGAGGAGGAAACCAAAACCGAAATTGCTCAAGGCGTGTCAAAGAACCAATATCAAACCCAGAAACTCTGGTCTCGAAGGCCAGGTGATTAGCCATGACGATGCCTGCCTCAGTGGCAGTGTTTGGGGGTTTGTTAGCTTATAATATGAGGTTCGGGATGACCTTAGTCTGGGAGCCTCTCCCTGCTGAAGGTGCCAAGATGCGTAGGCTGGGACTTCAAGCGGAGGGAGCAGAACATAGCTGCTTCCAGTTCGCTTTGAGGCTCTCTAGTGCTTCCACATTACTGAGCCCAGGTAACAAAACTCCCAGGGAAAAGTCATCCGTCAGAGTAGAAAGCCTTGTCTAGGGGTTCTCCTGGGCTCCCCGCCCCAGGACTATGGCAGTGCTTCAGGAAAACATAGAACGCTAACAAAGGATAGGAATGGTTCTTTGGTGTAATGCTCTTCTATCTCCCCGTTAGTCCTTGCCCAGTCCACTCACCACCCCATCCCCCGAAACACCAATCATCCTGAGAAATGCCATACTCCATTCCACAGGATCCCACCTAGGTCCTGCTCTGAAAAGAAGCAAGGAGCTTGCATTAGTGTGACCAACCATCCCGGTTTGCCTAGGACTGTCCCAGTTTTAGCACTAACTGCATCCTGGGAAAGTCCTCAGTTCCAGGCAAACCTGGATGGTTGGTCACTTGATGTCAATTCTCAATGACTTGACAATTTCTTACAGCGACAACTCTCCATGGCCTCAACTTGACATACTCCTCAAAAAATATCACATTGTAACAGGTATAAGGCAGGAAATGGCCTGTTTTTCCCCAGTAACAGCAACTCTGACAAAAATAGAGTTGAGGGACTCTGGCCAAGTTTCTGACCACCCATGGGCCCCAGAGGAACTCACAGCCCGAGTTCTCTTCCTGACCTAGGGAATCTTGGGAAGAAAGGAAGGAAGGGCTTAGTCACACCCTGGGAGTGGCAGCCAAGAGCAGCACTTACTCCCCACAGAGCCAGCTCAAAACCTCTCTCTTCAGGAAAAGTAGATGCTTCCCAGGCTTCATTCCTTTTTCACAAAGGCAGAATGACAAATACTGACCAACAGAGGTGGGAGCCAGAAAGCACCACCATCTCCCCATCTTTGGAAGAGCAGCTTCCCCAACCCAGCAAACCCCTGAGCCTTCACTGGACACACGACTTAGACCAAGACACAGGCCAGGGTCCCCCCCAGGAAACTCACCTGGGTCCCAGGACAGACTCGGCTCCCCGGGGATGCAGAAGCAGCCACCCATGTGTGCACCATCCTCCCCGGGCCGGGACGAGGAGCCTGGCAACAGGAGCCAGAAGAGCACTGGGAGGGAGCAGCCTCCCCACGGTGTTCCTCCTCCCGCCTCCTCCCTGGCACACGAGGGACCGAGGACCCGGCTCAATGCACAATGCAGCCTTTGATATCCCGTCTGCAGCAGGAGGCCCAGGGAGGATGGGAGGGGCTGCCCAGCCCTCAGGCCCCTTAGCCCTTGCACCGCCAGGCCTCTGACTGGGAGCAGAGCTCCTCCCTGCCTCTCTGCAGATTGCTTCATGCCTATCAGGCTGTGGCACATTCCTGGCATTCTAGGATTGGGATACACAGTTTGGCTCCTGTGGGGGCAGCCAGGGCGGGGGAGGAGGGCAGAGAGCATCCCAGGAATCACGCTGCTGTTCTTGCTCCCTCCCTGACTGACTTGGCCTCCACTGACTCGTCTGCCATGGGGAAAGGGATCCCCATCCAGTCCCTCTCTCTCTGCAAACACCTTCCCTGGCTATCTGCGTGAAACTGAAGAAGGAGATGTGGGTGCAGCACCTCACCTCAACCCCAGCAGCATCAATGAGCCAGCTTCCTGCTGGTGAAGGTATACCTCCCCAGCCTGGCTCCCAGGGTTTTGGTCAGAAGGAATCAGTTAATCGCCTGACATAGCCCAGCACCTTACAGGTGAGAGGACGGAGGAACAGATATGTTAAGGCTACCAGTATGCACAAAAAAACTGGTCACACAAACCAACCTCTTTTCCATTTTGGATAGTCAGTAAAACAGAGAAATGCAGTTGACACAGTGTGGCTGAATGTCAGAAAACTTCCCATGCTATTTCCCAAAGAAGATGGAGAAAATATGGCCGAATGTCCACAAAGTTAGAAGCACGACTGATCTAACAACAAGCTCAAAGGTCATTAATTACTTAACATTTCTTTAATGCCAAGAGCAAAGGTCAGTCGGCGGTAAGTGGTCTAAAGAGTGGAGAGGTGTGGGCAGAGATAAGGCAGGGTCCTGACAGCCTGCCTTGCGGGCTACTTAGGGGCTGGACTTGAGGTCACTTTCACAGCATTTTAAGCAGGAAGGTGTCCTGGTCAAGTTTATATTCTGGGAGAAGCACTGGGGTGACAATGTGAAGGATGGCCCACGGGTCAGTCTCACTGGAGTGGTCATGAGTGTCCACCGCACACACCAGCTCGGCTCCAGTTGACAGCATCTCAATCATGTCTCTGAAGTCTGATATCAGTTTCAAACCTGACTCATCTTGACTCCCACTTATTGAATGTTCACTATGAGCCAGGCCCGTGTCTATGACTTCATTTAAATCCCATAACGTAGGCATTATCCTCTCTGTTCAGTAAGTGAGGAAACTTAATGAAGAGGGGTGTATAACTTGACCAAGGCCCTACCATTTAAGAATATCAGATTCAGGACTTGAGCCAGTTCTAGTTGATTCCACAGCCCAGAAACTTCATTTTTCTGATTATGGTGTCTTTCTTGACTACACGGAGGGAGGATTAGACTGGGGCAGGGATGGGGAGTGCGGGGGGCACAGGGTCTTTCTGATCACAGTGCCACAAAGGAGGATGTTTAAAGTATGCACTTCCCATAATGTGTCCCGTGCCTTTTCCCTCACCAAAGCACAATGTTTTAAGTATGAATTAAGATGTTTTCTTGGGCCCAAGATAAAAGGGCCAGGGTTTCTTTAGAGAGCAGCTCTCAAAACTTTGGAAGGTACGTGAGAATCAGATGGTGAAAAAAAACCATGGTCTAACTTGCACACAACAAATGCTCAGACTTATCATTTCTCCTTGACTTGCCTGTACACTGTTCTTACACAGGTGCAGCAACAGAGATCATAAATTATACATGATCAAGACAAACAAATGGAAAGTCATCTGTCATAGATGACACCCTGAGGCAGCTAACTGAGACACACGTTGTGGCAAATCTGAAATGAGTGGTCTATTCTGGATAAAATCATTTCCAGGTATGTAGCAATTGTAACATCCAAGAGAGATGATGATGGCTTAAACCAGAGTGATGGTAGTGGAGGTAGCGAGAAAGGCTTAGGTATTATATATATAT